ATATCAAACGAATCGATAACGTCCCCAATCGATTTTTTATTTAAATATCTTATTGATTACTAGGTGTTAAATCCCAAGCGTATCGATTTAGATTTATTTAATCAAACAAGCTATAAATTATCAACTCAATTTTATTAATAAAAACTCGCCCGATACGCTGTCACGAAAAAAATAAATTAAAATAGATGCTGCACGATACAACATTATACTGGCGTTCTTTTTTAGTGTTGTATTAATACAGAGATACCTAATAACTGTTTTATTGGTTATATGAAATTAAATGACAACTAAAAAACGTAATAAAATGTTATTAATCGACCTGAGACGGAAATTCGTTGTAATATCTAGTATTTGTGTAGAATCACCGATGGAATTTATCAAATATTCCGTCTAGATGGTTCACTCATTACTCAAACACGTGGCTTATCACATTAAATAATTGACAATGTTCTCGCACAAACAGTGCTCATTTATTATGATATTGTGAATATTGAAGTCGTAAACAATATGTATTCACTTAAAATTGTATATTTCTAAAACTAGCTACCTATTTACTTGCCTACTTATATTTTAAGATAATATTCGTCCGTATTTAATTTAAAATAATTTTGTAACTGTTATTTTGCCGTTTATGTTAATTTTTAATATTAATTACCTTCTTTTGTTTACAGTGAAAACAATAATAAATTGATAAGCGTTGCTTAGTCTGTAATAATGTCGTATCTCATAACTAACCGTTTTTCCTGTTGTAAGTAATAATGATAAAGCCAAGTCGTGTAATAAAAACTGTTCATTCAGCTCTGAGCGTAAATTATAATTAGAAGTTATACTATACCTACTAAACACATAAAATAAATACATAGAATTACGACGTCGATCGACACAGATACATTGTTTGCGAACCAATCAATACAACAAATAATTAACTATGAAACATATTTCACACAATTTTATTAATATCTAAAAGCGAATTATTTCTAAAAACAAGATTATTTTGTCAAAATCAAGTTTATCGCAAGCCGAGGCAATAAATAAATCGACAATATGACTCACACGACTACTATCTGAATTAAATATTTTATTAAATTATTTTCTTATATTTAGGAGACTAATAACTTTTCACACGAGCTACTTCAAAATTAATCAATAATTCATTGATTATTTCAATTTTAAAATGAAACTTGAATCCACCTGCACGATTAGAATTAAAAAATCAATCTGCGGTAATCCAACTACGTTGCAAAGTTAGTTCGTGCAACTATTAAGCGACCGAGTAGAGTTGTGCTCATGGACGGAGAAAGTTAGCCAGCGTGGATAAAACTACATTTATTGGTGTTGCATATTCATCGTACCCCCAGGCGTAATACAACACCAGTGATACAAGATCCCTCATAGTACACACAAACCCTTTACTTCGACCACTTATTTGATACCTTCAGGGAAGTATAAAAGCTCAATGTAAATTGGTCGTTCAGTACTTACTTGTAACTAGTTTTATATTTAGTTTAGAGTAGGTAGTGACAGTGTTGTGTTAGGTGTCGGTCTTATGTCTGTTATGTTATATCGCGATAAGGATCAGGAAAATGTATGAGTTGCTGGAGAATTGTCATGTCTGAAGGAACAAGATGGGCTTTCAAATTCAAATTAATTGTTAGACTACAAAATCTATTAGTAACTATGTATTTTTATAATTGTTTTGGCTTTAAAATTAGTATAAAATAAGATACTTCTCTATATAAATTAAAATATTCATTAACTAAAACAAAAACGAACAGCTGTGTACTAAAAAGAATCGTATTAAAGAATACACATTTAAACGATTAGCAGAAAACAATTCAAATTTCAAATTCATAAATCGAACTCTCAACCAACCCTTCAAATACAACTCACATTTGACAATAGTGATGTGCAGTGTTCACATCTCGGATATATCCGAACTTATTCGAATATCCTTCAATCACAGCCCGTCTGCTAACTTTACGCATTCAACTGTTTACTACTGTTGCGTTGCCGTTGCCTCAACTACATTGCAACTCGTTAACGACCACTAAAACTGTGATACACCACTAAATTACAATCATTATTGAAGTTATAAAGTTCAATTTTAGTTACGCCTCTCTGCATAGTAATTGAAATTGACAATTTGATTGTTTCTTGAGTTACTGTTATTGTTGGTGATAAAAGTATTTAAGTTCAGTATTAAAATAGTAAATTAATAGTGGGATTTTATTTTTACGGTTGACGTAATATTATTTATAAAAATTATCGAACTGTCTATGTCTAAGCTATAACACAGCAAGCATCACACCTGTTTTCTCAGAAATATACATTTACATAACAATAACTTATACATATTCCACCTTCACTTAAACCATCTATTCCTATACCACAATATGTAGCAAAAGTGTCGTCAACACGTCGGGAAGTCGGAAGCGTCTCGTCACGCGCACGTGAGATTATCGGACCACGAGACGGCGACGACTACGAGACGAGTTTTGTACGAACAATCGTAGGGGACCGGCTAGTGCTGTGGCGAAACAAAATACCGTAAAGTTGAGGTACTGAGTAACTGTATCTATTTATACCTAAGTATAAAGTACCTACGTAGTTAGTATTTTTATTAGGGTTTGATTTGAATATTCGTAGTTTGAAATACATACACAATAAATAGGTCACATTTGTCGAAGAACCGATGACCGCTGGGGTAAGTAGACGTGTTCTGGAGTGGAGACCGCGTCTAGGAAAACGTAGTGTACGGCGCCCTCCAGCTAGGTGGAGTGACGATATACGTAAAGTGGCTGGTAGTGGTTGGATGCGTAGAGCTGAAGACCGAGCTCAGTGGCGTGCCATTGGAGAGGCTTATGTCCAGCAATGGACGAAAACAGGCTGATGATGAGAGTTTGAAATAAAGTGACTAGTTTATCAATATTGTCTATAATTGATTGTTACTCTACCTTTAATGTGTATCTTACATAAAATTAGATAAAATCTAGATTAGTCAAGACCTAGATAAGTTAGGATTTAGCTACAATGACATTTAAAAGCCTAGTATTATGAGACCGGTGTTAAATTTGCGGTTCATTTAAAAAACTAACGCCCGAGTGAAATGTGATCTCGTATAATTGAGTTTATTAATAAATACAACCTTATTAATTATACGAAACATCTTGTTTTACGAATTTGTTTACATCTTATTTGAGGCTTTAATTATGATGTTTTAACGTCAGTGAGCCATCGATAGTCTGATTTAGTAGCAGGCATAAAATATTAACACATAATTTTTACTATGTCAGTATATTTTATACCTATTAAAGGTATTTAAAACGAAATCGTGTTACAATAAAAATAATCAGATAAAGGAAATTAAATCTCGAAACCTAGTAATAAAAATAGCATAAAATTTATTATTCCACATTCAAACTTATAATTCCAAATTCAAAATTATCTACGCGAATTAAAAAGAAATTAAATTTCGTCGTAATACCCGCTAAATAACCGCATTACGCGTCGGTACAACCCTAAAACTTTAACGTCGTATAAAATTATACAAGTAGACATTAAAATTTGTCAAAGACTTTTAATATGTAGTAAAACTGGAAATTTCGAGCTCCATGATCGTAAGCCTGGGAAAGCGAAAGTTTATTACCTATTTCTATATTAATTTCTAGCTAAGTTACAGTACTTGTTTAATAATACGTTCGGGTTTTACAATGAATATAATTTAACTTGAGTGTGTTAGTATCCATTTCTACTGCAATCGCGTAAAGGATTTTACTATTAATAAAAAATGCGTTATGCCATCGAATTAAATACGTAAAAAATCCGGATAAATCCAGTTTCGGATATTACGAAAAAAAGTGATTGCACAACACTACGAAATTGGACCACATTCCAAACTAGACATTTGTTAATAAACTTCCTCATTACAATATGATTAGACTAAAGTCTCAAAAACAGAGACACATTAATCAAAATATGTAAAACATGAATCGTAATTTCGGTAGTCGACTAATCCCCAAAACGATGTATTGACTTCATAAATCTGTTGCCAACTGACTATAAACAGCATAGTAATATGATTTATAAATCATCTTCCCAATAAATAAACGTTAATTACGAACATTTTTGCCAAAATCAACATATTTATAAAACATCGTTAATCCAAATTTATCATTATAAGCTTAATTAAATTAATGAAAAGGGTTAAAGATATAAAAATGAAAATAAAACGAAAGTATTTAGTAATAAATTACGCGCGTGTATTCATAATAAAAGTAGTATCGACATGAAAATAAATTAAACTTAATACGTAATGACGTCTCGACGAGATTAAATATCGTTTTCAACGCGCACTACTCCTAGTATATCACATATTTAATTTTTATGTACGTAATATTTACAATTACGCGAGCGAGACACGTGAAAGAATCTTCGAGAACAATAAGTCGCATACTCCCCGGACGAATAAGTCCGACCGCTTCGGGGAGCGAGAGTTATTATCCCCATGTACAAACATTCTACGAAACATCAACGGTTAAATACGCGAGCGTCTCCGATACGCCAAGCGTTCCGTCATACTCCGACACCTCAGTTCCAACCCGTAACCGATGCGGCACGGCGTCACCCTCCTTGATCCGTTTTTGGTAGCTTCCCACTCCCCTCCCATAGTTTGAAAGGTGATGATGTACTAGCCTCAGGCATTCTAGGACTACTGGTGTAATTGGTAGGTAATCTGGAGGGAGTTGATAGGAAGCTACCATACGATAGCGAGGAGTTGACACCGAGAGACGTGTCCAAAGTGGAATAGTACCCGGATGAAGCAGCAGACGGCGCAGGAGCTGGCGGCTGCTGTATCTGCACGCGTGCCGCCTCGGCGTATGCATCCAGATGCGTCCTGACCAGCACGAGCAACTCTCCGTAGTTAGTGACAGATCCGCCAGCTCCTGCCACTCTGTAAAGCAACAACCGCGCTTCCCCAAAAAGACTGTCTAAAATTTTACCTGTCGTGAAGAGGACGATGGCCTTCAGACAGGAATACTCCGCCGAGTCGACGTGGAGCGCTTTCAGCTTCTCCACTTGCTCCTGGAAGATCCTGATGTGGTCCATGAAGGCGACGACTCGGTCGGCCGCCATCGGCGACGCGTGGAGTCCCGCAGCCGCCAGTAACGGCGCCACGTGGAGGGGCATGGAACACTGAGACGCGTTGAGGACGAACAGTTCTGACCAGACGAGTCTTAACAACGCGACCTGGTCGGTCACTTGGAGTTCGGGGAAAAAGGGGATGTTCCGCGCCCATTCGACGGCGGAGAAGAGTAGCCTCGCAGCTAGTTCGCAGATATTGTCTATTCCCATCACGTTGGCTGGCTGGACGCACTGCCCGTACCGGGAGGTGGGGTAAGGTTCTGCTCTGAGGAGCAGAGAGATGTAGGAGGATAGGTAAGGGTGGCTGTTGAGACCAGCGGAGGGGTCGCCGTTCGCCAGTGCGTACTGGCCGGGCAGCGCGAGCCCCGCTGGTTGCGTCGGGGGCACTCGCCCTCTCTGCACAGCTGGAACAAGACAAACAAAACACTGGTTAGGAATTACACTCCGCACGCTTCGAACAATAAATTACCCAAGTCTAGGAAGCAGAAGTCTAAAGTTCTCACACCATATATTCCATATCGAACGACCACATTAAATTCTCACAAATCTCGATTACCTCCTGTTGAACTCTGAGTGCGCACCCAATAACTCTGTAGTGCTAACATTCCATGTAATATTACCTGTGCCACCTTTACAATAGTTACGGTGTACATTAATTGGAGCATTATTAATTTAATGTATGCAATTAGCGCAGTTTAAGTCGTAAATACCTACGATAATCCGTACTAAAACAGCGGGCAGTTCTCTTGTCAGATCCCTTTATGACTCGACTGCGTGTTCAGTGACAACTTTAATAGAATTCGACCATTAAATGGGATTAAATATTTATATGACTTTAATAATATTCACAACACGTTGGTGTTCAAAGTACCTGCTATAAACCGTTTTTACTACTAATACAATTAGCACGTGTGCGTCTGAGCTGTATTTTACTTTTTTTTGCTGTTAGGAAATTCTCGTATTTTCACGGGAGAATACGGGAATGACGCAATATTAGGATAATATTTAAGAACTGTATTCATATTACTAAGTACCTAATCGAGTACATAACAATATTATATACAAGCTATTCAAACAAAAAATGATCTACGAGTACTTAACTATTAAAAGTCTTATTGAATAAAAACACGACAATCATGATTGATTCGTTCACAAACAGTTATTAAACTTAAATTACCTATTCGTAAATATTTACAATACCTAGTATATGACCGGTACGCGTGTATTTTAATCGATATCTAGTTAATAGTGCTGTAAATAACTGTTTTTATAATACTTGAATGTGTATTTTACATACATTGATAGATTTATTATAAAATATAGATTTAATCTGCTTCTGGGCAGGGTTCGTACTACAAAAACGTAAAGCAATGTTCTGTAATGGTGTCCAGACAATAGAATTTTGTAATTGATTTGAATTTCAAATACGGAAAAATAGTATACCTCTTTTTAAATCAGATTTAAATTAGAAAATAGAATGCGCTTTATATTTTTTTTTACCTATAAAGGTGATGACATAGAGTTTGGTTTTTTATTTTATTAAAGAAAGATTTTGTTTTTTTTGTCTTATTTTTTTAGCGGACGCTATTTATCTTTTTAGGTTTTTTGATGGTCACATAAAATTCAACGTCAATTTGTATAGTCTCGATTAAGTTTTATTAATATAATTATTATGTAATTATGCCAAACGACTGTTAGTGTTAATTTGAGAACCTAACGTTTTTGATTTAGATAAGAACTAATTAAGGTTGTTTTTTGAATAAACACTAGGTTAGGAGAGCTCGTAAATGTGATAAAATTAAGTTGTTTCAAATCATTAATGACTTTGGTTTAATTAAAAAGCCATTCTTGAAAAGTTCAATGTTCCAAAGTAAAAGATAGCGAGTTATAAATAGAAGAAAATAATGTTCTATATAAATATATTCGGTACGGTTGACGCAAATGATAATTTTACAGTTAGGTCGGCTACTGATTATAAAAACTTTTTTAAATGATTTCCATTTTCAAATTCTAATATATACCGAGAATCAAAAAGTGTCTGCTAAGTTTTTTTAGAGGTGGCAATCACGAATTCGACGAACAACTGAATAGAATGCAAATAAGTGAAGCCTACACAGATTTAAATAAAAAATCGAATGTAACGGGACCTTTTTTCTAAACCAAACATTTATAAATCGATAGCTATTAGAAAAATGCAAAAATCTCGATTCCGAAACCTAGTATCTATTACTATAATGGACAACATTAGTTTTAGTCGATTCTAAATTACAAGTCCACTTCACAGACGTTAAAGAATTAACCTGTTGTTTCTCAGTACAACGAGGCATTTCAAAGATCGTGACGCCACAAATCATCGATACTATCCGAGACGAATCGACGTGAAAACGCGGAATCGTCGCTTCTAATCGCTCATTCGGAAATGCTCACAGAGGAACAAAAATGTACAGCGCGCCAAGCATTCCGAGCGCGCCACGTTTTTTGGCGGGAACGCATCGCGGGCCGGCGCGAATGCCCGCGCACGCGCGTACCGCCTTTTTATTTCTTGTCAGTACAACAAGAAAAAAATAAACGCGTAAACAGGTTGTATTATTATTTTTTCCTTGAATGACAACATGACTGGAATTCGCCCCACGGTTGTTTCGTAACGAGCGCTTCCCACAGTAAAAAGACTTAACTTTGTTTCTAAGTATAAATTGTTATGACATTTGATTTCTTAGATTCGGGTTATTATACGGAGCGATTACACACAAATTCATAGCGATATGTTCAAAATCGATATTTACCAACAAAATATCACGATACCAATCATCGAAATAACACGCATTCACGAATTATGGCTCGCATCAACAATTCAATTAAAGTGTTACATCGCCGGAATAATTCCGTTTGAATTAGAGTAATTGCGCGCGTGATTAGCCGGTTTCAGAAGGAAATGTAGGCCGCGAGCTCTCCCACGCCGCACTGCGTCGACACCTAGCCTAATAGCGCGTCATTACACTATCTGCCGATACATCTCCGGTACCTCTCGACATCGACGGAACATCACTATCAGCTCATATAATCGATGACCACTCGGCGCGACTCCAACAAAGCGATTGTTCGATCGCGCTCAACACTAATTACGATTCGGATTTGGAACGCGCGAAAACATCGCGCGTCATTTCAAACTAAATATTTTCTTAATTTGTTTTAAGTTTATGGAATCAATTCTGACCATTGACAGGTGGGAATTTATGAATGGAAATTAATGTAAATTAGCGTTAATATGAGTGGACTTCCCGTAAGGTTAATAGTTAATACATCTAGGTCCATTAGTTGTCATTTGCATATGGCTACGTCTCATTTCGGATTTCTCTTGTATAAATAACGTTGATTAAATCGTTCGGCACCCACAACGCATACTTCACGGGATTAAACGAAAATTAGCAATGTGTTTATTATAAATTAAATAGCTACCTGATAACGGTTAGTTAATAACGAGATAGTTTAGCAAATAAAAAATAGATAATACTTTTTTAATGGAAAGGAAGGAGGTTGTTGTTATTATAATTGTTTATGGTCAAAGGTGAGTCATAGGTAAAAAAACCGAATGGCAAAGGTAACGAGTGGAAACATCCTTGTTTACAAAAATATTGAATTTAATTTTATATATGAGAGCGTCGTCATTGTTTTGCAGCATCTTTTTAAGGGGGAAGATGTAGAAACAATTGAGATTGCGACATAGATTAAAAATCATGACACGTCCAACCTATTTACGTGGAGGCTACACTAAATGTACTGTTTACATTATTTTTATTCGAGTATCGTACCAAGATCAAAACAAAGTTATTATTTTCATTTTGTTTTAGGAATTTTCGGCTTTATGACCTTAAGCTTAGGGTGGTTGAATGTAAGGCTCGGGATTGATCGAGAGTGATCTTGACACAGATTGTGTAGAGGAAACAATGTGTCATGTCATTTTGGAGATGTGGCATTGTGATGTATTGTCTCTAGCCTAAACTGTAAGAGATTTTTATTTCGAGGTTTTCTCTATCAATTTACTCATATTTTATAGCAATATGATAGTACCTACATTTCTTAGTTTTAGTTATTATTATTTACAGTAAATAACTATATATATAAAAATGAAACCCGTTTTCCGTTGTCACGCTATAACTTGAGAATGGCTAGACCGATTTGGCTGATTTTTTTTTTGTTGGGTTTATTATTGTCAGGAGAAGGTTATTTTGTCAGAAAAAGGTCCTACAAATCCTACGGTAACGCGAGATAACGGGATTGCGCGTACGAAGTCGCGGGCAGAAGCTAGTATAGTAATATTTACTTAAAAACTCCCATTGAAACTCCAAAATTTCTATATTACGCAGATATTACTAAACAAATTTTCCTATTCTATGTTTAAAAAATAAAACAATAAAAAAGTTATAAAAACTTATCTCACAAATAAATACCGTTAGCGTAACATACCGTTCTTGCGATGTCAAGTCACATCACTATGAGTGACATATTGACACCTCTATAGCGAAAACTTATACTAATTACAAAAGTACATAAAAAAAAAACTTGAAAAGTATGTATAGAGTATAGATGACATTTTGATAGCTATAGTCTATGGTCGTATGAAGTTGCAAAATGTATTATTATATTATAATTTTAAATATTTTTTTTTTATATTTGATTGGCCGACGCCGACGTTTGACTGTCTCGCATTCTCGCCTGGTGGTAAGCGATGATGCGGTCTACGATGGTGCACGTCGCTGTCGGCGTCATCCCATAAGCAACCTATTCACTCGGGTCTTGAAGACACCCAGATATTATGCAATACTTAGATAAACGATTATTGTTTTCTAAAATTATCGTCATTTCTCATACTTCCTCTATGGAACGAAACAAATGTTTTAAAAATAATTTTAAATACTTTCGATTTTAAGCTATATTAAATTGACGTTTAGGTTTATTTTCCTTCCGATAAGCATTGTCATTTATTTTATTAAAACCTAGGATACTAAGTACGAAGTACACGAACATTTACATAATAAATACTGACTTGAGTATGTACTGATCTAAAAAGGTCGAAAAAGTTTTTTTTTAAAGAATGTGGTCAACGTGCTGGCAGCTTAGGGTCGAAAGGTTATCATTCCATCCTTACAGCATTTGAAAAAAGAACAGAGATATAAAAAAGTTGAATTATTATTATCGAACTGGCGCCAAAATAACACAGGCATAATAAAAAAAATGGTTGACTGACCGTGTTGTGTGTGAAACTTAGTCTTACAGGTACATTATTTTTAAGTATTTTCATAAGATTGATATTTACTATTGATCTAAGTTCAATTCTAACCTAGTAGTTTAAGTTTATTCAATGGTTTTTCGACTCTTTGGTCAATAAGAAAATTGTAGCTGATTA